GTGTGAGGGGGGGAAGAGAACGTGTGTGTATGAGGGAGGGGGGAGAGAACGTGTGTGTATGAGGGAGGGGGGAGAGAGCGTGTGTGTATGAGGGAGGGGGGAGAGACCTTCTACTCATAAATTGTGTGCCTGATACTACATCTCTTACCTACACATGAAGAAGGACTGAGGCTCAGAAAGCTCGTGTTTTCAAGTAAACCAGTTGGACTATAACCTGGTGTCATGTGATTTCTGACTTTGTCCACCCCAGTCCAACACCGGCACCTCCACATCATAAGAATTAGTTGTTTCTGGAGCTGCTCACCATCAACTGCTCATATCAACTACATCGTCATCGAGTGCTTCTGAGGCCTTTGCTAATGAAATTCAAAATTTGATTAGGACAGCTTATTTCTAAAAATATTTAAAGTAAAAGTTAACCAGCGCTGTGAGAGTGAGTTAAATCAATGGTTAAAAAAGCAAAGAAATAATGAATGGACAATGTAAAGGGGAAAATATACCAATTTTACTGAATGCTTAAACGGTCAGAGGGAAAGAAAAATAGTCACATCAAGGAAATTCAACCTGGAATTACAAACTTTTCGGAGTCCAAGAAACAAAATTGAGATTTGATATTCAATGATTAAATAGAAAGCCACTGCATCAGTGAGAGTGACTTGATGTGACATAAGTCCTAAAAGTTTTATTTGCTCATTTTTAATTATTTTTCAGAGAAATTAGTTTACTATGGAAGAGCAACTTAATATTTTCATGTGTACTGTCTGCATAGTATGTCCCAGGTGCTTTGTGTCTCTGTGATGACCACCTGCATTAAATACCTCAAAATTATTTGTGCTTGAGTTTAAAGTTTTGCAGCTATATATGTATGGTAGCATGTCATTTACATTACAGGCCAGCAATAACATGAGTTCACATCCTACCTTGGCAGTTTTAAAAAACTGAATTATAGAATCATACAGTACAATAGACGCTCTTTGGCCCCTTGAGTCTGTACTGCAAAACTGTGCTAAATCAATACTAGTCCCACTTTCCAGCACTTGTCCCATGGCTTTCAGTGTTGTGACATTTCAAGTGTTCATCCTTTTAAAGGTTGTGAAGTTTCCCATCTCAACTATCCTCCCAGTTGGTGAATTCTAGATTCCCACCACCCTCTGGGTGAAATTATTTTTCCCGAAACCCTTTCTAAACCTCCTGCATTTCAGCTTAAAATGATGTCCCCTTGTTATTGACCCTTCAACGAAGGCAAACAGCTGCTTTCTATCCGCACTGTCCATGCCCCTCAATATTATAAACTTCAAAGAATCTCTTCTCAGCTTTGTAGGTAACAGCCTGAGCTTATCCAGTGTCTCTTCATAGCTAAACTGCTCCATCCCAGCCAACATGCTGGTAAGTCTTTTCTGGACCTGCTTCAGTGCAATCTCACTCTATAGTGCAGGGGCTTATAAATCTATGCCATCTATGGCTGATAAAGGCAAATATTCCATAAGCCTTCCTAACCACTCATTAACCTACCCTGACTCCTTCAGGGATCTGTAGCCATGCACCCCAAGATCTCTCTCTTCCTCTGAGCTTCCTAGTGCCTTGCCATTCATTGAGTACTCCCTTGTTTTGTTACTTATTCCTAAGTGTATCACCTCACACTATTCAGAGTTAAATGTCATCTGCCACTGATCTGCCCATCTGATCAGCCTGTTTATATCCTCCTATAATCTAAGACCCCCTTCCTCATTGTCAACCCTCAGTCAATCTTTACATCATCTGCAAACCTAGTTATCATTCCCCACATTTTCTTCTATATTGTTTGTATATATCATGAATAGTAAGGGTCCCACAACCGATCACTGTAGTATGCCACTGACACTGGACTCCAGTCATACAAACAGCCTTCTAACACCACCCTCTGTCTCCTACCACCAAGCCAATTTTGGATCCAACTTGCCAAGTTGCCCCAGATTCCCTGTGTTTTTTCTTTCTTTATCAGTGACCCATGTGGGAACTTTGCTGAAATCCATATAAACTACATCAACTACACAACCCTCATCTTCACATCAGCTTACAAAAAAATTTACAAAAAATTCAAATCAGATTTTTTCGCATGACCACCCTCTAACAAAGCCGTGCTGACTATTCTTGATCAAGCCCTGCCCCTCTGAGTGAAGATTAATTCTCTGCTTTAGAATTTTCTCTCATTGCTTCACTGCCAATAATGTGAGTCTCATTGGTCTGAATGTACAAGCTAGTGGAGATAGAAATGACTACAAAGCTGGCGATGGTTGATTATAAAAGTAGTACATTAATATTTTTTGTGTGAAGGCATTGGTTGCCTTTATCTGGTGTGGTCTATATGTTACTCCAGTGGTGCACCAATGTGGTTGATTCTTAACTGCACTCTGAAGTGACCTTGGGGATGTGTCTTAATATTGTAGGTTACTTTCCATCTTTCAAGGAGGAAAAATGCGTTTCTGTGCTAGGAATGACAGAGAGGCTGTTTGCCTTTTAATGTATGTTTGTATGACTCATACTTGTTACATTTTTCAAACAGGTCATCACAGAAGCCACAGACACAGAAGTCATTCTAAATCACCTGAGAGGTATTATTAGTTTCATACGATTTTATTATTGCTTTCTATGGAATGATTGATTGCTTTGTTTCTAATAACTTCTACACTGTACATTTAGATCAAAGAAGAGTCACAAGAAAAGTCGAAGAGGAAATGAGTGAAGTTCCATATAACCACAGCTACACATTTCCAGTGCATCTCAAGACCTGTTTGTAGATATAACTGAACTTTCTTTGTTTTGTGTTAATAATTTTTTGTACTTTTTTCATTTGTTCTGATTTTGAGATGCTATTTGTGATAATTCCATTTAACATGTGAATTGCATTGTAAAGCTGTTCTACAGTTTTTGGGATTGGGTAGAAGATTAACATTTCTGCATTTGTTTTGTGAACAGGAAGAATATTATTGAGTGCTTTTGAAAGTAACTTTACAATTTTTAACAGTGATTTTAGGTGATGTTTTGGTTATAAAATATAAATCAAAAGTTCATTGTTTCTTTAGTATATATGGTATACTTGATTATTAAAAGCAATGGTTATACAAAGGCTCACTTGAGATGCATTATATTCTATACTCATGTCTACAAATGTTAAATGTCAAAGTTCAGACAGTTTCGAGAACAAAGAACAAATACTGTGGAAAACATTGAGGCCATAAATATACTGTATACTAAAACACATTTGCAATTGTGAGGACTAGTTGACCAATCACAATGTGCTTGTTTCTCATTAGAAAAATATAGATTCCAAAAACAAAGAAAACCTATTATTTTTGTCTCGGCATATCAGAAGAAAAATTGTAACTTAACAAACTAATCAAAACTTTTTGTCTATGTATGCATGTTAAACCTATTCAAATGGCCCCCTTTATATATAGAACAATGAGTGTTGAAGCCAGCAAATAAGTGATCATTTAAAATTTGAGACTGTTTTGTTCCTTTTTAAAATCTTATTTTGCCTCCATTTGACAGGGAACTTTTCTCCTACTTCTGGAAAATATCTGTAGTTTCTATAGCTCTGTGAAGGTCTTTCTAAACAGTGGAAGTGCATTACTTCCCTCTAACAGTCAGGTCTAGACTGAAAACAACAGCAGTGTTCTCCCACTTCATAAATCAGCATACAAAGATTTGATAAAAAAAGGACATTTCTACACAACATGGTCATAGGGCAACCCAATGCACTTCACAGCCAATTAAGTACTTCTGACTCCTAGTCCCTGTTTTAATGTACAAAAGGTAAAAACTAATTTCAACACAGTAAGCTCCCAAACACTGCAATAAGATAGTTACCATTTTTCTCTATGGTGCTGGCTGAGTGGCTCCTTCAAATTAGTGCAATGGGAACTCTCATAATCACCTAAGACAAGAGAAGAGCCCTGGGTATAATGTCTCATCTGAAAGGTAGCACCTCTGACAATGCAGTGCGCCCTCATCACTTCACTGGAGTATTTAGATCGTGTTGGCATTTCTACAATGGGGCATTCTTAAGACCGATAGAAGGAAACAAGTCTTAGCAGATCTACAAAACCAGTCCCCTGAAGTCTTATTGTAATTAAACATTATGATGCCAACAGCAGCCAAGGGAGACAGAAAATAAACTTTTAAAAACTGAGACCAATTTGGGGAAATAGGTTTCTTGGCAGTTCCTATCCAACCCCTTCTATGCCCATGTGATAGGATTTTGTGTTTGTCTGTGACTGTATTGGCTATGAAGTGCTTTGGGGTCGTGAAGATTCTATGTAATTTAAGTTTATTCTCAAACGCCATTAATAAGTATGCAGTGGCAGAACAGGTGAGGTGAGAGTGACTGCTTTTGACATCATGGCAGCAAGAAGCCCTTGCAAAACTGGAGTCACTGAAAATCACAAGGAAATCTCTCGGCAAGTTTGAAGTCATTCCTAGCCAAAGAAAGATGGTACTGGTTGTTAGAGGCCAGTCATCTCAGTCCAGGGGCATCACTGCAGGAGATTCTCAGAATTCTGTTCTGGACCACAACGCCTTCAGTTGCTTTATCAATAACTAGTGGTAGAGGAGAGAGACAGAAACAGAAGATGATAAACAGGATGAGAAAGTGGCAGAAACAGTGACAGATGAGAAACAGTATGGCAGAAACAGAGGATGAGAAACAGCTGTAGAATTGGAGTGGCACAAACAGGATGATAAACAAAGGATGAGAAACAGATATGGAGAATGAGAAACTGAGGATGAGAAACAAGATGAGACACAGAGATGTAGAAACAGAGGATGAGAAACAGTGGGTGACAAACAGAGGATGAGAAACAGGATAAGATATAGTTGCAGAAATGGTGCAAAACAGTGGCTGAAACAACATGAAAAACAGAGTGGCAGAAACAAAGGGTGAGAAATATTGGATGACAAACAGTTTCTGCAACTGTTTCTCATCCTCTTTTTCTCCCCATCTGTTTCTCCTTCTGTATTCTTTCTAATTCTCTATTTCTCATCCTCAATTTCTCATCATCTGTTTCTCATCCTCTCTTTCTCCTCTCCAGCTTCTGCCACTCTGTTTCTCATCCCATTCATCATTCTTGGTTTCTGCCGTTCTGTTTCTCATCCTCTGTTTACCCCATCTGTTTCTTCTCCTGCAATTCTGTCACTTTGTCTCTCAACCTCTGTATCTCAATCTCTGTTTCTGCCACTTGGTCTGTCATTTGTTTCTGCTAATCAGTTACTCATGCTCTGTTTCTGCCACTCCTGTTCGCATTCTCTGTTCCTTCCAAACTGTTTCTCATCCTCAGTTTCTGCCACGAGGTTTCTCAATCTCTGTTTCTGCCACTGTTTCTCATCCTGTACTGCTGCCAAACTGTTCGTCATACTCTGTTTCTGCCACTCTGTGTCTCATCATCTCTTTCTCATCCTCTGTTTCTGCCACTCTCTTCCTCATCCTGTTTTTCGTCCTCTGTTTCTGATCTCCTGGTTCTGAACCTCTGTTTCTGTGACTATTTCTCATCCTCTGTTTCTGATCCTAAGTGGCAGAAATGCAGGATCAGAACCAGACGATGAGAAACACAGTGGCAGGAACAGAGGGTGTGAAAGAGAGTGGCATAAACAGGGAATGAGAATCAAGGAATGAGAAACTATGTGGCAGGAACAGAGGATGAGTAACAGATTAGCAGAAACAACTGAGGAGGATAAACAGATGGGGAGAAACAATGTTAGAAAGAGAGAATGAGAAACACAGGATCAGAAACAGAGCGGCAGAAACAAAGGATCAGAATTGATGTTAGTAAAATGTGATGGGAAACAGAATGGTTGAAAGAGGGTGACAGAAACCTAAAAACCTGGAAGAAGCAGGGGATGAAAAACAGAGGTTCAGAAAGAGAATGGCTGAAACAGAGAACGAGAAACAGGCGTTTGGTGGAAACAGGATGAGAAACAGCGGGTGAAAAAGTGGCAGAAATGGCAGAAACAGAGGATGAGAAACGGAATTAGAAACAGGGTGGCAGAAACAGGATGAAAATCAGTTTGGCAACAATAGAGGATGGGAAACCTCATGGCAGAAACAGAGGATGATAAACAGTTTGGAAGGAACAGAGAATGTGAATAAGAGTGGCAGAAACTGAAGAGGAGAAACAGGATGAGAAACAGTGTGACAGGAGCCCCAGAGAGTGAGATATATAGGATGAAAAACAGAGTGGCAGAAACTGAGGATAAGAAAGAGGATGAGAAACAGATGATGAGAAACTGAGGATGAGAAACAGAATCAGAAAGACACTAAAATGGAACAGAAGATAAGAAATGGTGTGACAGAAACAGAATGAGAAACAGAGTGGCAGAAACAGAGTATGACAAACAGCTTGGCAGCATCAGAGGATGGCAAACAGGATGAGAAACAGAGTGGCAGAAAAAGAGGGTGAGAAACAGTTTGGAAGGAACAGAGAATGAGAAGAAGAGTGGCAGGAAAAGAGGATGAGAATCAGGGGATGAGTAACAGATTAGCAGAAACAGAGTGGCAAAAACAGAAGATGTGAAAGAGAATGGCAGAAACAGAGAATGGGAAACAGTGTGGCTGACCCAGGATGAGAACCAGATGGTGAGAAATAGAGTGGGAGAAATAGAGTGGGAGAAACAGAGTATGACAAACAGTTTGGCAATAACAGAGGATGACAAACAGAAGATGAGAAACTAAGTGGCAGAAAGAGAGAGTTAGAAACAGTTTGGAAGGAACAGAGAATGAGAACAACAGTGGCGGAAACAGAGGATGCGAAGCAGAGAATGAGTAATAGAATAGCATAAACAAACGATGACAAACAGTAGCAGAAATTGAGGATAAGAAAGACGATGAGAAAGAGATGATGAGTAACTGAGGATGAGAAGCAGAGAATTAGAAAGACCATGATAGGAACAGAAGATGAGAAATGGTGTGACAGAAACAGAGAATGAGAAACAGGGTAATAGAAACAGTGACAGAAACAGAATGAGAAGCAGAGTAGCAGAAACAGAGGATCAGAACGAGAATGGCAGAAACAGTGAATGGGAAACAGTGTGGCCATCACAGAGGATGAGAACCAGATGATGAGAGTTGGAATGGCAGAAACAGAGTATGACAAACAGCTTGGCAGCAACAGAGGATGACAAACAGAAGTTGAGAAACATCGTGGCAGAAACAGAGGGTTAGCAACAGTTTGGAAGTAACAGAGAATGTGAACAACAGTGGCAAAAAGAGAGGATGAGAAACAGAGGATGACTAACAGACTAGCAGAAAAAAATGATGACAAACAGAATGGCAGAAACAGAGGATGAGAAGCAGAGGATGAGAAAGAGAGTAGGAGAAACAAAGAATTAGAAAGACAATGACAGGAACAGAGGGTGAGAAATGGTGGGCACAAACAGATAATGAGAAACAGGGGTTTAGAAACAGAGTGGCAGGAACAGAGGATGAGAAACAGAAGATGAGGAATAGAGTGGCAGAAACAGAGGAAGTCAACAGATTGGCAGCAACAGAGGATGAGAAACTGAGTGGCAGAAGCAGATACGGGAAGCAGAGGATGAGATACAGAGGATGCCAAATCTTATGCAGAAACAGAGGATGAGAATCAGAGAATGAGAAAGTGTGGCAGGAACAGAGGATGAGAAACAAAGTGGCAGAAACTGAGGATAAGAAAGAGAGAATGAGAAATAGATGAGAAACTGAGGATAAAAAACAGATATTAGAAAGACAATGACAGGAACAGAGGGTGAGAAATTGTATGACAGAAAGAGACAATGAGAAACAGGGGAGTAGAAACAGAATGGCAGAACCAGAGGATGAGAAAGAGAATGGCAGAAAAAGAGGATGAGAAGCTGAGGATGAGTAGCAGCTTAGCAGAAGCAAATGATGACAAACGGAGACAGAGGATGAGAAGCAGAGTGGCAGAAACAGAGATTGAGATACAGAGGTCGAGAGACAAAGTGACAGAATTGCAGCGGGAGAAACAGATGGGGAGAAACAGAGGGTTAGAAACACAGCGGCAGAAAGGGAATGAGAAACACAGGATGAGAAACGGAGCGGCAGAAACAGATGATAAGAATCAATGTCAATAAAATGTG